TAAAGAGGTACAGTTTTTGGCATCTTTTCTCTTTTCCTTTTATTCGGGAAATCTCGTTATACACCATGTGAGACTACCCAGAAACATACAACTTGTAAAATTTATGATCACAACACAATTGCAATATTTTGAAAACATGGCTAGCAGTTTCCTAGTAGGGCAACATCAGAAAAACTGTTTTTTTTTTTTGGCGTGGTGTTCTCATGAAGTACTGTGCCAATTAACAGAAACAAAGGGTTGAGGAAGGGCAAGTGATTTGTTACATTGAACAACTGGGTGGTCAGGTGCCAATTGAGGTTTGTGTCGTGACTCTCTTCCAAGTCATTCTGTGACTTCTCATGTTTATGATTTGATGTTGATAAGGGGCAAATGACTGTAATATGATGAGTGCTAATCATTGCTATGACTTTCAATGTTTGCAGTCTGATGTGTCAGGAGAGGTTATCAAGATACTGCGAAAGGATGGAGGTTAGTTTCTCCGATCAATTTAATTTAATTTTTCTAAAGACCAGACTGGTATTGTGTTGTGTGTGACTCTTATTTTTGGTCTTTCACAGATCCTGTTGGATATGGTGACGCTCTTGTTGCAATATTGCCATCATTTCCAGGAATAAAGAAGCTTCAATAGGTTGAAATTTTGAAAAAAGACATTCTTGCAAACGATGCTGTAATTTACCAATGCGAATGCTTCATTACTGTTTTACTTCCTGTGGTCCATAGCTTGTTTATTTTTACTGTTAGTTTTCCATAGCAGAGACAAAGGTAAACTAAAACAACCTTGTTTTCTCATACTTTTCTGTTTCTGTTAGTGGATTTCTCATCTTCTCGCTCACGCTATTGGCATTTGGATTTAGTTTTAATAACCAAACTTCTCATACTTTCCTGTTTCTGTTGATAGATTTATTATGAACAATTTTTATTAATTCAATGCAAAAATCCAATAATTTTTTTTATAAAAAGAATTATCAAGTATTGCATATGAAGCGTCAAAAGAGATATTAGGTAAGTAATAAAGGTTTGGTGAGATTATTTGATGGATACATATTTATACACTTTACTAAAAGCTAACATATTTCGCAATTCATCTTAAAATTAACTCATCTAAATGTATATAATATTTTTTAATATTTGTAAGCTATAAAATATTTATTTGAACACTGGCGTTTTTCTTGTTTTCTTTAATAATTAATGTATTCATGTCTTAATCATATACTACATGACTTATTTATATCATTTGAATTAATTGAATAAATAACTTTTTCATTCTTCAAAAGTATAATTCAATACACACCCATCAGAAAGATAACATACCTAGAGCCTGACTTAACCCGTGTCATATTCATTTATTAAATAGCAAGTTCCAATTTTTTAAAGAAGTTATTTAATTAATAAAGTTAAATTAATTTTTTTTTAAATTTAATCAATTGAAATTATATTTTTGTATCTAAAAGTTAAAAGAATTGACTTACATATAAAATTAGGCTCACTAATTCATTTATATGTAACTTAAGCTTTCAAACAAGTATTTTTCTTTTTTTCAATTAGGCTAGGATTCACAGGATTTTGAAATGAAAAAAAAAAGGTTAATTAAGTAAATTTATAAAAGGGAAATGTCGATATCAATTGAGGGGGTGTAAATCACAAAATCCTTATTTTTATTTCAGATACAAAACTAATAATGAAGCCCAAAGCCCATAACATATGGGTGGTGAGGCTATTTTGGTACTTTTCTTGTTTCATTTGGGCTCGAATTCCGTGTCGGGATTTTTGTGTCAGGTCAATATAAATAATATAAATACAATACATGCATATATTTATATTATATATATATATATATATATATAGTACAAACCAAAATCAACTCTTGGTATTCACTCTTTCGTTTCATTCGTTACAGTGAGCGTTTGACCGTTTTGGATGAAGAGCGGTGCATTTGGCGTGAAGCGAAGTGAAGATGGAGACACAACGAGCACAGACACAGCTCAGAAACTCAACAGAATCAGAAAACAATTACAGTAATAATAATCATCACAACAATGTTAACCATAATCGTAACTTGATGGTGAAGACTGAGTTGTGTAGGAGATTCAGGAGAGGCGTCTGCGTTCATGGAACCAAATGCGATTACGCGCACAGCGTTGCAGAGCTCCGACGCCAACCCAAACTATGCAGATTGTTCCTTCAAAACAAACACTGCCCCTACGGACGCACTTGTCGCTACCTGCATTCAGCCACACCAACGCCGCCACCGCCACCACCACAACCATCAACTTTTCAAATTCCAAATCTATCATCTCAACCAGGTTTTCTTCTCTCAATTCTATCATCACAGCACTAACGTAAATAGATCTATTAATTGTTCAATTACGCGTTGCGATTCCATGGCGATGCTTACGATTCCATGATTAAATAATGCAGGTGTCATATGTACTAGATCTTCTTCTTACCATCCTCAAAATCGTATTTCTAGTACTCTACCTCTCTACTGGTAGTATTTTTTTTTTTTTGTGAAAGTAGTTAATTTATTATTTGATTGAATAATGTAATTATGATACCGATACATCTTCTCTCGTCATGATACACGCGTAATTGAATTTTATTTTATTAATCTTTTACTTTGAAATAAAAATCTCTATCGTTTGAAAATGTGTTGACACTACGAGACGTGATAGTGTCCAATTATGTAGTATTTTTTTTTATTGAAAGGTGCTGAGTATCAGATTGGTTCAATTCGTGACAAAATGTTCTTTAAGGTCAATATAATAACATACACAATTTAGTTTGATCAGGTTTTGATGTTATATCAAACATAAATTCAACTTGAGTTAGCATTAAAAAAATGTTTTATCATGTTAACATTAGAACTTTCGAAAATGACATTTACATAATCCCAAATAGTAAAAGTGAAACTCCTCATTTAAATGTGATAATAATTGCAATAATCTTTTATGAAAAAAATGCAGTATAGAGTATTTATATTCGCTGTTGTTATCTTGAATAGGATTACCTCCCACGGGAGGACACATGAAAAAAGAAATCATATTCTATGAACACCATAAATTCATTGTTCAATGTAACCAATATGTTCATCATACATGAAATCCCAAACTGTCATTATTGAAGCTTTAAAATATTAGTACTTATTGTTACATATTAATATAAGTATATTTGAATCAATTTGATGATAATCGGTTTGATTTAATTTTGAACACCGCTAGTCATTAGTCAATCCATTCAATAAGTCTTTGCTAGCCAAGCCAGCATGCTTGCTCTGGTATAGATGGATCTGTGGGAAAAAGAATAATTTGGTCGAACGAAAAACAAATTCTGTTTTCCTTTTAGAAAGAATTGAGACAGATACATCTCTTTTGTCATTTTGATGAACAAAACTGATGGGTTTTGATTTGACGCTATATTATAAAATATTTGCATGGCATTTTGTGATTCAATAGAACATGGATTTATGTCCATGTTAATAAATTCTGACCCCTGTTTTTGTGAAGCAGAAATAGGGCAACTTGATCGCTCCTCTTCTGCGGAATACAAGAGAATGAGAACTTGTGCAGAAAGTTGGACAATGCAAACTGATACTGCTGCTGCTACTGCAAATGCCTCAACTAGCACTCTGGCAGCAGGTAGCCCTTCCCCTAAGAATGAACCATATGCTGTGAAGTTCGTATTCAAGAAAAACGAACTAAAAAAGATCGATCGCATTTATGCTGATTGGATTTCAGATTTACCTCGCTGAGAAAGTGGCTGGACAAGTGGATAACTATATTAAAAACTAAGCAATTTTTATTAATGGGTAAAAACTAAGGAATCAGTCCCATCGAGTTTGATTTTGAGGAATATGCATAAGTATTGCATCAGGTATTACAATAGATAGAACTTTTGAACCTGCCAAATTTATGATACTATTATGGGTTAGTACATTTATGTCAAAAATACGAGAAGATTTCAAAGAATTGTATGCAGTGCATATTCACTATTGCCCAGTTTAGTATTCATAAGACGTTAATACAGTATATTGCTAAATTACTACTAGTAATTTAGTAGTAATTTAGCAAAGACTTTTTTTAATAACTCCCTTTTTAATAGTTGGAGTTTTTAAAATATTTTTATTTTTAATTTTTTCTTTTTTTAAAATTTCACAAGAACATTACTTTATTTCTCTTCATTTCCATATAATCTATAGTTAATTTTCACTCATTTATTATAAAGTAAAAATAGTAAAATAAAACTTTATAGTTATTTGTCATTCCAGTGTATTTTAGTTTGTCACGATATTCAACTAGTAATAAACAATTTCGACAATTTTAGTTTTCATAAAATAGAAATATGAATACCGTAATTTAAAAATGTCTACACATTTACTATTTTCTTGTATTTCATTCCATCGCATTACCATTTTTTATCACACTTTCTCTGCTCTTCTTCTATCTCCTTGTATAAGACCAAAGGTTCGTACACCAAAGCAAAAGGGACATGGAGTGATATAAAATACATGCACGCTTGAAGTTCCTATCCAACACAAAGTAAAGCACAAAGCATTTGCGTACTCCTCTAACCTTTAATTATTAAAATTTCCCTATTGAGAAATGGTGAATATGAGAAACAAAACATAGCGTACAAGGTGATATCTTCCAAGTAATATTAAGAATTATCTCTATTTGAGACTAAACAAAACTTTTCTATTCATTCATAAAGCTAAATTAAAATGACAACTAAAAAAAGGGCTTTTATAGGTTTATATTACTGGGCTTAATTAATAACTTGTATTACTGGGTTTATGTTGTTGCGTGTGTTTTACTTTCTGGCTCTATTTTTTCCACATGTTCCAACACCAAATTATAGATAAGATAAAAAACCAAACAAAAAAAACATACAACGTAGTTTAACACTGTTGACTGAATAATATACCTGAGTTGTTGTAAACCCCACAGTATTAAAGTTCGACTCCTCCTTTCGAACAAAATTAATAAGAAAAAAAAAATCTTTCGAAGCTCAAATAACAGTGATTTGCGCATCGATATAAAGCAATACATGCTCTGAAAACCGACATACATCTTCAGCATGGTGAATACAAGAGTTTGCATTAATGAAATGAACGATGTGAATGAAATCAGAAGAATATTGATACACAGTGAAATACAGTAGTAGCTTTCCTTTGTTATTCATGTATTATGTGCCCAGAGGATTTTACCCATTTTACAGTTGACCTGGCTAATGCGTCCATTGGGTCAACACATTTTTTGAGAAGAGGATCATCTGGGGGCAAGAGGTCCCGCATATCATCAGAAGCAAGAATAACAGAATTTGCTGCTCTCACCAAAAGAACTTGAAGTGCAATTCTCAATAGATTGCATGCTCCTTCCATGTCCTTTCTGTTCAAAGCTTCAATTGCAGGTATCACTGTATGCTCCATTGTTGCTCTATCAGGCAGTACAACCTCAAACCCCTGAATATAAGTAAATGAAATTAACAAATATCCAAATCTCTATGGCTTCTCAAGTGTCATCCCAATTCAACATTGTCTTTTAATCATTGCAGAAAAAGTGAAAAACAACTAGTAGTGCATTATATGCAAGTGCATACTTCGCACGACTCCTTGTTCATAAATAAGAAAATGAAAAGAATTGCAAAAACCAACAAAAAGTTGCATGTTCAGGCGCAGAAATACAAAATTCATTATGAACATATTGCAGATACCATTCAGGTTTTTAGCAGCAGTGGTAATTGGTAACTCTGCAGTGCACAGACATAATAGTCTAATAGAGCTGCAGTCGTAGCCAGGTAGAATTCTTTCATTGTTCATAATATCAATCATGAGATCTAATTATACTTTGCATGCACGCACGCACAGAGATTATTCTTTATATATGAAAATGTCCTAATGAACCTAAACCAGAAGAGAAGCTACAAATATATGAAAGTGTACATATATACATGTATGAAGTGTCTGTTGTATTGTGTAATAAAGCAAAAGCTTCTGACAGCGCATGCTCTGCATTACAAAGAAAACATTAAGATCTTATACTCTATTACAAAGGAAATATGGGATAAAAAGTCCCCCCTTCTTAGGTTTTTGTCTTCCAACTGCCATAATATCAATCCAATACTAAACTACTGATTCATTTTTAATGATCTAGATGTAGGTTTTGACACAGAAAACAGATAATGGGTTCACTAAGAACACTGGGTCTAAAAGATGTAGAAATTTAATGATCGAGAAGAAACACTGTCACGGTGCTTTTGGTTTAGCATACAACAATGTAGTCGGCACTAGTTGAATGAAATTAAGAAGCAAGTAAACAAATACAAAACAAATTATCTACCCATTGCATCCTATTGAACAGAAACAAAGCTGTAAGCAATGTACATACATAGATATATGGCTTGCCCAAGAAAAAGAAAAGGACATGGATATGAAATTGAGAGGTCAGGAAGTGCTAATACATTAAATTAGGCATCTCAAATTTCACAAAGTATGAAATACCCCTAATAGAAACTGGCTCAGACTATTGAAAGAAAGCTCCTAACTCCCAATTCCAAAAGACCTATAATCTGTCGCATTTCCCATTATAAATGGTAACTGGCAGGTTCCTATAATCTGTGTCAACTAAAAATGAATGTCTTTGGCCTTCACCTGTTACATTATGGTTAGGAAATTTTATATGCTCAAATCTGTATTAACTCCATAAAAAATGCTGCAGTTATTCAATGGTCGTAAAGTCACAGGAAGAAAACAACAAATTTCAAAGGAATTTGTTCCAGGTCTGGATCATATAGTGTGTTTTGAAAGTTCTACTATGAAAAGCAACACTTTAATGGACATTCCTCAGAGTAACAACATTGACCTGAGTTATTAATTCCTCTAAGCCTAGTGTGCAGTAATAAAATTTGCTTGATATTAAGATATCAGGTTATTGAAAACAGCATAGGGAAATTACTTCATTTTGAAGCTTCTCTTTATAAAAACCAGCTGCCAGAGTTGCATTTGTTGCTAGCACTCCAATCCGCAAAGGACTACCGGCTTCAAGAGGCTTTAGCTTAGCTTCCTTGAGCTCCTTGGCAACACACTCGGCCATGTGAAGAACAGGAACAGAACATCCCTCGCACACTTGTTCATACCAAGAATGTGACACATTACAAGGCATGACTATGCAACTGGCCCCAGAATTCTCAAGAAAAACCCTCTTGTTTCTGAGACTCTCCACAATCGGAGAAGAATCCAGCTTCAAATTTTCCGCTCTACTTGTGCTAGAAACAAAATAACTCCTTTCAAAGGACAGAAGCTCCTTACTAAAGAGAGGATCAGAACACAGTACAAAAGGAATAGAATTTCCTCCATCTTCTGAACTCAACTCCACAAGTTTTCTCAAAAATTTGAGAGTGGCATCCACAGACACCCCTCCAATTATACCCACAGTACTTCCCTGAGTGGCGAAAGGAGCACCCTTTCCTGAAGCAAGGTTTGTGGCATGAATCTTCTCAGAAAACTTCCCACTTTCATCTGCATTCAAAATAACTGAAGATGGGGGTGTGGCTTGAACATGGCACCACCTTGTCCTGCAAAAGTATCTGCGAGTAGGAGCAGCTACACAACCTAGTAATAATGTTTGGAACGGATAACTGAAAGACATCACGTCCAACATCTCCAATGTCCACGAAATTTGAGAGCTGGAGTTCACTCTAGCCTTGTGTTTGTTATTCTGTTGCGTTGTGTGTGAAATCTACAACCCCATTTGAGTTGCAGAGTAAGAACCTCGATGAAGAAGAAGCATGTTGTAGAAAAGCCCTTGTGCAGACATGTGGCTTCACAATTTGACACCAACCTTTCTCAATTCTCACCTCACAGTAAAACCCACCACACCATGCTTCTCTTTCTCCACCCTTGCACTGTTACACATCACCCAACCACAATTCTTCACTGACTCTTTCCGTTTACTCTTTTTTATTCAGAAAAAAAAACAGAGAGACTGATGTGTTATCCATCACTAACATCTATACATTTGTTGAAAATAACTAAAATATCATGTAAATGAATTCAACCAAGAAAATATTGTGCACAAGACCATTTTGGTATGGGAAACATTAGTTCTTAAAATTAATTTCAAAAAAACTTGAAAATGCAAGTCAATATATTAATTTAAAATTTTATACACGTGACTTAATAGACAATATTAACATACATTTAAAAATAAGAAGAAGAAGAGATTAAGCTTAGGGATTAAAAATGTCAGAAATTTATTTAGTTTTCAAGAGTCATGTGAAAGCGCTTAATATACTATCTGGTTGATGTATACAAAATTCCAGTAGGTTTTCTTTGTTAAATTTTTTCAGGGAAGCTCCCAAATTAAGTAAATTTCATATAGAATTTTAAAATAGTTACTATATAAATCAATCATTCACTGTTTGTAGTATTAATGAAAAAAATAGAAATAGAAGAAGAAGAAAATTTTACCATGTTGTGCGATTTGATGAGAAAGCGATAAGAATGGTTGAGAAAGGAAGGAGAAGAGACAAGGAATGGGAATGGGAAGCATCGAAGGATGTTCTCGCCATGTGCAGTATTACTGTCACGTTTCGCATTGCTTCTATCATTCTCTTCTGGGCCCAGATTTTCTTTTTTTTACTTTTATTCTTTAAATTATTATTTTATTTAAATTTAACTATTTTTTAAATTAAATAGATAAAAATCATATGTTAAATCAGTAAAAATTATTTACTAAATAAATAAAAATATCATTTACAAAATAAATAAATCTATTTATAATTAAATGATAAATATTATTTATATTTATTTTTACAACTATAATTTCATTCTTTTTTGTTATGTGAATACACATATTTTTATTAGTAAATAATAATGAAACTATTCAAAATCACAAAGTTTCTTCATCCAAATAATACTTCTGTGTGGGATTTTCACTTTTTTTTTTGGGAAAGGACTCACTACACCACGATTGTCATGTCTTGGGCGCAGGCCCATCAAATGTCCAACATTGTGGCCCAGTTTGACTGTTTGAGCAAAAGTTTTCCTCTCTTATAAAACCCATAGGACAGCTTCTTCTTACATCTTCATAGTTTCAATATGCACTTTCATAATTTTTTATATTTGGAATGTATGATTTGAAATAAAAAAAAAATTATAATAAATCATATAACCTAAAGTATAAAATAAAAAAACAATAATATAAAATGTATTCATATTTTAAATTATATAATTTAGAACGTAATTTCTTTTATTTCAAATTGTGTATTCTGAAATACAAATTATATTTCATTTTGAATTACACATTTCAGAATAGAAAATATATTTTAAATTGTAGAAATTTATTACATTAGTTAAATGATTTTGAAATCCGTTAAAACTGACGATAGATTTTAAAATTTGTTAAAAATATTAATAAATTTTAAAATCTGTAAAGAGAAGTGAAGGAAGAAATAGGTGGAGATTAAAGGAGAAACATCCTTTTTGGGGTCACTACATGTAAACAGGCTAGTCCCAGTAGATAATTATCGCAAAAGAATCTGTTCATAGTTCATCAATTGATATCGAAATTTCAATTCGTACAAGTGATCTGCAACCAAAAGCACCTGTTGAACTATTTCTCCAACAACTCTACTCGATAAGACTTTGACTGTAATTTCTTTCAAGTTACTCCCACCAAAATAAAGAAAAAGACGCAAACAAGAACAGCATGATATTTGATATTGATGTCCTTGTTAATACTAATCCAACAGTATAATATTACCATTAGCTAAAACCAAAAAGTAAAGGGTGTGTGAACATTCATAAAGAGTGTGTTTCCTTTTCTAGTTCCTCCGACTGCATCCCCAGGAGGACCAGTAGGCAGGTCATTAAAGACTATTTTACATGTGTTGTACTACTGAACACCTTTAAACAAACATATTCTGTTGCCTTTCAAGAACTCAAAGGTAACTACAATTACCATCGCATAAGCTACTTTCACAACCTCTGGGCAACTCTCTCATACAAATCACGAGGCCAATTCCTCTTTAAATTATTTGCAATAAAAGTCGCAATCTGCAAAAAATAAAAAAGATTTAGCCATCACGAAACAAGAGCACATATTTGTTAAGTAAATATCAAATAGCACTGCAATCGTCAGACAACAAATGTAACTGGATACTACTACAACCTACAAATGCCCAAGCCATTATTTACCCTCCTCCGTCAAACAGAGGGTAAGCGAATATCTTCGTAACAATGTAAATTAAAATCTACCAACAATTGGAATGCTTTAGTTTTATTCCCACGTCAGTATTTCCTTTCCTTCTAGCATTGACAACAGATTTTATAAAAAATCAACCCAATGTTTCCTTCGTCTTCTTTCGTTATTTTTATACACAAACAGAAAACAGAACAAATGAATATTAACTACAACAAAAGTGATTAAGAGAAGAGTGGAAATTATTATCAAACATAGATTCATATTAACATATGAATACTGATTCTTAGGAAAGTTTCAAGATATGGGTTCGTAGATTTGACCATACAATACGGAAGGAATTTTTTAGATCTGTGACTGCTACCAACACATTACTTAATAAAAACATTAATCCGAATTATGGTATTTCAAAAAAAAAAGTGAAAAAAGCATGAAAATAGCCCAACCAACCATTGGTATCCACAAGATAATACCTTAGCCCTTAAGGCACGAAGCGATCCATCAGAGTCTGTCACATTGTCCAGACATGTGAGGGCAACTTTCAAAAGATCTGGAATACAAGCTTGGACATGTGAAGATAAATTTTCAAACGCTTCAACAGCACTATCAGGGCTTCGAGGATCTAGAGGAAGAAATGGAAGTTTAGCAACCTCCCTTAATGCATCGATATAATGCCCCAGTCTTGCTAATTTGTGAATTGACAATATTGACTCAAGTTGTCGTAACACAGTTTGCTGCTCAAAAACGTGTTCTCTCTCTTGAAGACTGCAAAAAGAATTCAATCAATCATTTTACTGAAAGATGGAATGCTGTCACGTTACATATAAATAATAACAATAATTTTGTATGGTTAAAAGCATTCATTAAATAATTCTGATTGAAGAGCCAACATGCAAACTATTAGGATCACCAATTCATTAAAATGTGCATCTTCAACTTCCAAAATCCTTCTGAGTTGCGGCAACTCAAGAAATAGTCAGGCCTCTTGGAATTTCCAAGTCCTACTTTAGGAATAGCAAACACCTAACCGAAATAACACCCATGGAACCAGTAAAGAGATGACCAATCCCGATGGTATTAAACCTGAATTCACTCCAATTATGCAAAAACTAGACATTAGGCCTGCTTTCCCCATGAGAATAGACGTGTTTAAAGAGCATAACATAATTAGGGTGAAATCATCACAGAATAAGTTCTACACGTGCCTCTAGGGTTCATATATTTCAAAGAATTAGCAGAGATGTAACAATGTCAATATCCCAGAGCAGAGTGCTATGAAATGAGGTACTAAGGTCTGGATTAAATATACAAGATTAAATATGACCTGACATCCGGATAATAAGTATATGTCTCCAAAATCTCATTGCCAGAATGAATGAGGCCAGCAGTCCGGCTTTCACCATCTAATCTTCCACGGAAAAGGGAACTAATAGCTTCAGAAAGGCATTTGTTGATGGTATCTAGAGCCATGGAGAAGGAACCAACTCTCTTCTGAATTTCTATAGACTAAACCAAAAGCAATATTAAGGTTAGATGAAAACTCAGTATTCCACAAGCAAAACAGAGAGGGGTAATGAATAAATGGATGATGGAAACGAAGTATGGCTAACATTATTGGTAATATAAATCTGGGAGTAAAGATACAAAACAACAAAGTAAAATGTGAAATTAATTAAAATTTATATGAAATCACATTTATTAAACTTTGAAAATGAATTCATGAACAATATCCCTGCACTAAAATAATGATTTAGCTCCACACCAGAAAAAGGAAGTCTAAGAGAAAACAAATAAAAATGAGCTCTAAATCTATAATGAAATGCTTTTCTATTCCAGCTACCTCTAGAATCTGATTATGATGTGTGAGATAATTTTTATCAGAAAGGTAGTGTGTTATAATTTGGCATTGGCAGGCAGACATTAAGGTGATGGCGAACAAAGACAATCCTTTTCCTATTTTCCCTCTAATAAACGAAAACAGTAACATAAGAAAGAAAGAAATTACTTTGTCATACATCCCAGCCTCCTGACACTGGCATGCAGCTTCAATTAAAAATTGTTCCCTGGCTTTTGGATCGGTCACAAAACGTCCCAATTCACCTTCTTCTCCTGAACCTCTTGCACCAAGTAAAAGATATATGCCTCCATCCCTTAATAATAGTTCAGTGAGAAGCTGCTTCAGCATCAGATTTCTCTGCCTCTGCTGATCAACATTACCTCTACCAGTCCATGACAACTGGCCCCCACCAACTGCTGCAGCAGCTTGTGCATAAAATTCTAGGGCCATTTGGAGATCACCAAGACGCAAATACATAGATCCATATTGCCTGATAATGGTGGATACTTCTGCATAAGCATCCATCATTCCAAACTTTTGCCCAGAACCAGCACCTTCAGAAAGGACCCCATGATCAGCTAGCACAATTGATAGGTGTACAGCATCAATGTTATATCCTTCATCTCCTGCTTCCTTAGACAAGTATAATACAGCTGGAAGCAACTGAATGCTTAAAAGCAAGATATAGGGATATACCAGAGGGTCTTTTCCATTTTTTGTATAGTATGAGGGCTCAAATTTATTCAGGTAACTTTGCAAATCATCCAGGCTGTACGGAATCAGACCATCGCTTAGAACAATGGATGAAGGTCCACTAGGACAATCCCGCACTGCTGACAATTTGAACCACAAGAAATCTTCTATTGTACTAAAGAGAGTTGGCTGATCTCTAAGCAGGCGATCAATATGTCTTCGGGAGCCTGATATGATGGCATACAAAAGTAACTTTTTCTTGTCATATGCAGTTCGACCAACCCGGTCACCAGTTCTCAACATTTTTTCACATTCCTCTGATGCAGTACTTGCGGTCTCTTTTGGGACCATCCCTCCAGTATTAATCCACTCTGTGAGCTGTCAAAAACAAGGAAATTGTTAAGATATATTATAGCCACAATCAGTAAGAAGTGGTGACCATAGTATGTACCAAAGGAACAAATTGATGTGAAGCACGTGAAGACAGGGCAATATTTCTTGCTTCATCGTAATAACCAGACCTCAGGCAAAAATATATCTGTCACCAAATAAATAAATGAAATAGTACAAGCTTAGCTCACCAATGTATTAATTTTAAGAAATAAAAAGGAAATATCAACGAACTGACTCAAATCAGGGAAAAATATATTCAAGAAAAAAAAATCAATTTAGTATAGCCAATTTAATAGTAAGTATCTGAGACTGAGACCTGCTGCCATGTGGTATCAATAGGAGGCTGCCTCCGAGCATCACTGGCATCAAAATCCAGTACTCCATAATCCCTCAACCGAATCTACATATAAATAACAAAAATAAGCAACCAATTGAAAACTCAATGCATG